TCCAGGCATTTCCTGATGTGGATCTGACAACCCAATGGAAGCTTTGGAGGCATCTCCAGGCATTTCCTAACCTGGATCTGACAACCCAAACTCCATCCCCTGCCAGTGGCCACGGAGAACCTGCCAACCTTACATGCAAAAAAGAGGAATTGAATCTAGGAAAAAAGGGGAACTTGTTCAGAGTACGATGCATGGGGGGGGGGGATGACTACAAGAGTCATGGTGCAAAGTTCTGCTTCAAGGGGAGCTTTGGCACTTTTCTTTGAGTAGCGGGAATCCATATACCCACAAGCCCATGTCTTAACTAAGGAGAAGTGGATTTTTCTTGTTCTGATCGCATATCATTCTAGACTTTCTCCTCGTGCTGCATTCCACTGCACCAGTTTTACAAGCATAGCTGACATTATTTTAGGAACTGGACGGTGTTCCGCTTCCCACAGATTTCAGCACATTTGTACTTTCTGTGTTACTGATGTGGGTACTGGAACAAACAGAACAAAAACAACAAAAAACACACCACCACCTGATGCAATTGTATGTATAGTTGCGTCAAGATCCTTTCGTTGTATGTTGCGATAAGGATGCTCCCGGGTGCTCCTGTGCATTGGTGACATACTGTGCTCGAAAGTCATCATTTCGAGATTGCTTTTTTTGCAGTGTTTTGGCCATCTGAATGTGCATATCGTAAAACAGGGAGAGGGGGTAAGCACACTAGCAAATTACTCACGCTGTCTCACCGAGCTAGAGCTGGAGGTAGGAAACCCCTGAGAGGTTCTTCGATTATGAATCATGGGGATGGGGTTTTGTCCCCTCTCACTCTCAGGGCTTTCTTTGTAGAAAAAGCCTAGCAGGAACTCATTAGCATAATAGGCCACACCCAATAGCAGAAACTCATTAGCATATTGGGCCACACCCTGACAGCACCACTCATTAGCATATTAGGCCACACCCACATGTTACCAGAAGTGTGCTCATCCAGCCACACCTTGTTTGTTGTCAAAACCCAGAGCTTTTTTTGTAGCAGGAACTCCTTTGCATGTTGGGCCACACACCCCTAATGTGGCCAATCCTAATGAGTTTCTGCTATTGGGTGTGGCCTATTATGCTAATGAGTTCCTGCTGGGCGTGGCCAACTCAGGAGCCAGCCGGAACTCCGTTCCTGTGCGTTCCTGCCCAAAAATAGCCCTGCTCACTCTTGTGTTCGAATCTGGAGCAACCCAATGCGCTTGACTCGATTCAGGACAGACACAAGTACTTCTTTACATGCAGTGCAAAACTAACCTACAGAGGATCTGAACGCGGCCTAAGATGGGCTGATATTCCCGCTGCCTTCCACCAGCTACTCCCAAAGCGTTGTCTCTTGCAATTTTCTACTGCCTGTGTTCCAAGCTCCTGGTGCTTCGCTGCGGGGATATTTGCAGTTTTCCTCTCCAATCTTGATTTGCTGAAATCCAGAATGGCAATCCCTGAGGGGATCAATGGCATCTGACTTTTTACCGTTAAAAAAAAAGAAAAGAATTTTCTACTTCGCTTCCAAAATCTGCTGTTTGAGAATGGAACAGATTTGTATCAGGTGGCTTCAAGGAAGCTCATTTCTATCAAATCCTCCAATTTGTTCTGACTGCTTGGAACCACTTTGGCACCCCCTTTGCTCCTCTGGGTAATACGCTTCCCTCCTTATGCCTTGAATCCACTTGCCTCCAACTTCATTCACCCAAGCGCATTTTACCTTCAGGGCCTGATATGTTGTTCTTTCCTGACATGATGTAATTACTCTCTGGAGTAGCCCTTCAGGGTTGGCCTGGAGACACTGGACCTAAATACTGCCATAGCTTCTGCCTGGAGACCAAAGTTCCTGTGTACATCTCTGCTTTCTTTGGGGGGGGGGCGGTGAGAATGTTAAAGAGAGCCAGTTTGGTGTGGTGGTTAGGCGAGCGGACTCTAATCTGGGAGAACTGGGTTTGATTCCCCACTCCTCCACATGCAGCTGCTGGTGTGGCCTTGGGTCAGTTATGTTCCCTCTAAGCTGTGGAGTCTTGTGAGCAAAAATTCTACTTTGTGAGCTACTGGCATTAAAGTTGTGAGTAAGTGATTTGGCTACTGAATAAATTAGTTTGCTCTGGAGCCATCCTTCCTGAGCTAAAACAAAAATCTGTGAGCTGGATGCTAAAAAACTGTGAGCTAGCTCACACTAACTCAGCTTAGAGGGAACACGCAGTGCACTCGAGAGAGAGAGAGAGAGAGAGAGAGAGAGAGAGAGAGAGAGAGCTCTCAGCCCCACCTACCTCACAGGCAGTATTTCTTCTAAGCTGAGTTAGTGTGAGCTAGCTCACAGTTTAACCTCTGGCTCACACATTTTTGCCTTAGCTCAGGATGGATGGCTCCAGAGCAAACTGATTTATGCACTAGCCAAATCACCTGCTCACAACTTTGCCAGTAGCTCACAAAGCAGAATTTTTGCTCACAGAGCTCCATAGCTTAGAGGGAGCATTGCCAGTGTGTCTGTTGTAGGGAGGGAAAGGGAAAGGAAATTGTAAACTGCTCTGAGACTCCTTCGGGTAGTGAAGGGCAGGATATAAATCCAATCTCCTCCTCCTCCTCTTCTTCTGTATTTGTCTGTTTTAACTTTCGGTAAGCCTGGGCATTTGTAGGAACACCGCCCCTTTCTGTACCTGGCCCCATTGTGCAGAATTTCTGCTCTGCACCCTGGAGCCATGTTCAGAACTAGCTACATTATTTACCCACACTCAAACACAGCATCCCACATGTTAGGACTATCCAAGTGATTCTGATTGGTGTTGGTATTCAATTTGGATTGGGCCGGCCTCTGTGCTGATGCAACCAGCACGCTGTGTAAAGACATGCAGACGCTACAAAATGTTCTGCGTGAGGCACATTTATAGTAATAACTGATGGGTACCCTGCATCTGCATGCCGAGGCCACACAGTGGGCAGTGCAGGCTCCTACAGTATAATTATTGTCCTTTATAGCATCACCCGAGGTGTGCAATTATCACCCGGGAACAGATCTCATTGGCTGAGGGGCAGGGATGGAATGTTCTGCCAGATGATCGACTAACAAAGATAAACAGTAATTTTCTGCCCTTCGCAATGATTGACACATGTTTACAAAATGCCTGGAATAACCTCATCAGCTGAACTTTTTAAAGGGGGAAAATATCTAAAAAGAAGAAGTGCATGTTGCTGCCTGTTACCAAGAAAGTTAGTGTTATGGGGTATGCAGCTTGAATCTGGAACTTTATGGCCTGAGGCCTTGGGGGACTTAGTGCCTGTGCAGGCTCACGGCTCGTCGCCTTCTTTTTCAAGTCAAGAGAGGAACAGCAAGCTGCCAAATTGACCGAGCAGGCAGTGGCTGCATTCAAACTGTGGCTCGATTAAACCTTGGTGAGTTGCAAACTCTAAATGCAGTTGATTTGGAAAACTGGGGTTTGATGGTTGGCAAAGAAGCAGGGTTTTGGACTTGGCTTTGTAGCTGGTTAACCACAGTGTGTGCTAACTGTGAATTGTGAATTCACAAACCACAGCTCCACTGTCCTGTGCAGCTGCTTGGCCACAGAGACAGCAGTACAGGAAAGGTGTCCTTCCTGATTGGGGGGGGGGGTGGACAGGGGAGGAGGCAATATACAGATAAACTAGACTGGGATTGATTACTTATGTCTGGCACTCTAACCATAGTTGGTTGCACAAACCATGGTTTATCAAGACAACTGAATGCAGGCCACTGTGGAGGATTGGCCAGGCCTTGTCTAAATACCAGGAGCCAGGCATTACGTCTGTACAGCTGACAGACCCTCCTGGGTACGGAAGCAGAAGGACCAAAGTATATCAGATCTCCCATTTTTGTTTTCATGTTTTTTCAATCAACTTGAGAAATAACACAAACTATTTAAAAATGTCACTGTGTTTACAGAATTTTATTCCAAACATTATATAGGCCTTATTCACACTGCAGGCTGCTTACTTGCAGGTTTTATCTGGGGGTTTTTTTGTGTGTGTGGTGCACGGAATTTCCCTTTGCACTCTGCAACGGCTGGCTTGCCAGACTCAAGTCCACTCACCCATCCACCACCTCCTTCCCCACAAGCGTTGTCCTAGAGATGAAGCACCATTTAGGAAAAAACAAGTCCTGCCCTGAGCCTAGGGGAAAGGGTATGTTGAACCCTAGAGTCCCAACTGAACGTCATATTTAGAAGCCAAAATTAGTCAAGTTGGAACCCTTAGATGGTTTCCTCTTATGGAATCTTCAGTAGAGAGAATACCAACAAGAGATCAGTTAAGGCAGCCACTTTTGTTGCTAAGCACCGAGGAATTTTGCTGTTGGCCATGAAGAAATCCATTCTGTTGCCTGGAACTCCCCCCCCCCCCCCCCATATTTTTTTTTTTTTTCGCTCTGGATATTTTTGGGACATTTGTGAGGATGATTCTCTAAAGAGTGACACTTTCCGTTACATGCTGTCCGTACAGTATGTCTGTAATACCTTTTGAGATTGCTAAATGAGGTGAAGAGTATTTATTATATCAGGTATTGTTCCTTTAGTGGTTAGATGTGCTAATATGGGAGACCGTAAACTTGTAATATCACCGTGTTCACCTTTAGATTTGTTTTGTTTCAGAATGTTTGAGGTTTTTTCCATTATGTATACGTTCCAAAGTTTTTTATACCAGAGGATGACGTTTAGATTGTTTGTGGATTTCCCGTGTAGATGCTATTGTGGTTTTGGCTGCATGTCATAAGGTTTGACTTGTAAGACATTGGAACACAGCATCCTTAGACTAGCTATATAGAGCTATATTTATTTGTATGTATACAATAATATATGCAGGCTATATGTGCATGCTTATCCTGTTGTTAATCTGGTTTTTAATGTAAAATGAATAAAACCATTTTGAAAAAAAAGAAGAAAAAAGTGAAGATGATTCTCATTTTCCCAAAGGATACGTTTCCATCTTTCTGGAAATGAAGCATCTTAACAGTCTGCTTAGCAGGGGGTCTTGGTCACGATCCTGCTCATGAAGTAGACGCTGTAAACTTCTTTAACGTCCCCTTTCAGAGTCAGCATGGCCGTCCCTGTCACAAGCTGATCAGGCTATAAAGGCAATACAGAGGCGTGTGTTAGGCATAAGAGCGCGTGAAAAGCTCTTCTGGATCCAGTCCGTGTGCTCAAGTAGCCTGTTCTGCGTAATGGCCAAAGCCCCCCAAACGACAATGAAGGCCAGAGCCTGTTCCTATTGTCACCCACCCCACAACTGGTATTCAGAGGTATACTGCTCTGAACATGGAGGTTTCATTTAGTCATTAAGGCTAACATCCATGGATGGACCCATCGCCTATTAATTTGTTTGCTCCTATAAATAGCGTTCCATGCACCTTGGTGTTTAGTCATGCCGGCCACATGACCACGGAAACGTCTTCGGACAGCGCTGGCTCTTCGGCTTTGAAACGGAGATGAGCACTGCAACCCTAGAGTCGGATTCGACTGGCTTTCGAGCAAGGGAGACCTTTACCTTTACCTATAAATATATCCTGTGACAGTAAATCCCACAAGGGAATTTTCTTTTGCTTGTCCTGTATCTACCGCTCATTGACTCCTCCAGAGAAAAAAGACCACTCTCATTCTGCTCCCTCCACCCCATGCATCTCTCTTATATATAAAGCTCATTTCGTGTGAGTCCTGTGGGGCCTGCGGATCTCCTGGAATGACAGCTGATTTCCAGAGTACAGAGATCATTTCCCCTGAAGGGAATGGCAGCTTTAGAGGATGGACTCTATGACATCAGTTACCAACTGAGCTACAGTTTGGTGTAGCGGCTAAGTGCGCGGACTCTAATCTGGGAGAACCGGGTTTGATTCCCCACTCCTTCACTTGCAGCTGCTGGGTGACCTTGGGCAAGTCACAAGTTCTCTCGAAGCTGTTCTCTCAAGAGCAGTTCTCTCAGAGCTCTCTCAGCCCCACCTACCTTACAGGGTGTCTGTTGTGGGGAGGGGAAGGGAAAGGATTTTGTAAACCACTCTGAGATGCGGAGTGAAGGGTGGGGTATAAATCCAATCTCCTCCTCCTCTTCTTCTTCCTCCTCCTCCTCCCGTTCCCCAAACTCCACCCTCAGAACTCCAGGAATTTCCCAACCCTAGTTTGGTGACGTGCTGTGACCGTTTTGCTCACCGCCTTGCAGATAAAATCTCTCGCACTGGACTCTACATTAGCAGTGACAGGATCAGAAGGAGCCATGGGGATGACTTGTCCAGCTATTTGGGATTTGTGTTCCCTCTAAGCTGAGTTAGTGTGACCAACCAGGACCCAGGAGACTTGCATAATTATCTGCCAGGCTCCTAGTCACTGATGCTGGTGACACAGTTGGTGGTCTATACTTCCGTGTTTAGCTAGCTGAAACTAGGATCCTACTATGGGATTCTGCATCATTCTACAGAGAAATCCTAAGGACACTTTCTAGAGAGCAGGCCCACTGAATACAGCTGAGTAGACCTGCTTAGGACTGCTCCATAAATGTGTCATGTTAAGCCTCAGGCTCAGCTTCAGCTCTGTTTTTAGATTTCTGGTTGGTTAACAGGAGTCATTTTGTAGAAAAAGAGGTGCAGGAGCTCATTAGCATAACTCATTAGCATAACTTATTTGCATATGCCACACCCCCTGACATCACCGGAAGTGTGTCGGAAGGCAACACCCACCGCTCAGGCTCCACTGGACTGTTTTGGGTTGCTAGCTATGGGGGGGGGGGACATGCAGATCTGTCCTCACAGAGGAGGGAGAGCTTGTGCCTGAATAAAACTTGGTCTTAAAGGTGGCGCTGGACTGTTTGGGGCTGGGGGGCTCTGCAGCTTACCTGGCTGCTTCTTGCTCTGACTGAGGGCTGCTGGGAGCAGGGGGTGGGGCTTGTTGCATGTGCCCGCCCCCTGGGCTCTTTACTGTCGGAGCTCCGCTCCTGTGCGCTCCTGCAGGAAATGACCCCTGGTTCTACAACCCAGATCCTATTTCACAGCTTATTGAATCCCCCATCCTTCCAATCGTATCGACTTGCTCGCCTTGAGTCAAAGTGAGAAAGGCAGACTCAAAACGACTGCATTAATAAATAGTAAAATGACATAACCCTCTGACACCAGAAAAGATTGTGAGAGAAGATGGCCGAAGGAAACAGTTTTATGGTTTGCAAAGTTGCCCGTGAAAGAGAGGATCAGGCAGAGTTTCACCGATGACCGGGAAGAAGCCGCTGGGGAGGAGGGCGATGGCGCTGCACATTACCACTTTTAGAAACGAGGGCAGTGTTGAGGACTGGCACTGCCCGTCAGTGAAGACGCACACTTATATAGTTGCTACAGATCAGCATCAAGACTTCGGCCCCGTGTCCTCAGTGGGACGCTTAGCCTGTAAAAAGTGGCTTCCCCTACTAGGGTTGCCAGCTCTGGGTTGGGAAGTACCTGGAGATTTGGGGGGTGGAGCCTGGGGGGTTTGGGGAGGGGCCTCAGCAGGGTACAGTGCCACAGAGCCCACCCACAAGAGCGGCCGTTTTCTTCAGGGGAACTGATCTCGGTCGTCTGTAGATCAACTGTAATTAGAGGGAGATCTCCAGGTGCTCTCTGGAGCTTGGCACCCCCGTCCCCCCTCCCAAGCCAGCCAGAATTGCCTACCCTTTGTTGAAGGGGACGAGTACAATGCAGCCACACAGACCGACTGCACGCTTGTGCGCTTTGTAAACCTGACACGTACATCTAAGCCAGCAGGGGGCGCCCAAGAAACAGTAATGGCTTTGGTTTGCCCGCGATCGACCGTTCCTTTCACAGGATCAATGGTGAATCCTTTCATCTGCAGGATGGACAGGCTTTCCCAGCTGAATTCGACATTCTGCAGAAAAGAAGGATTTAGTGCGGTCAGTTGATGCTGCTGAAGAATCCTCTGGGGATTTAAAAAAAACAACAACACCCAAATCCACGTGAAGGCAATTCCCCCCTCCCCCCTCGCCATCTGATCTGCTCCCATTCATGAAACCCGTTCAAATCAGTCTTAAGCCACTGAAGTGGATGGAGACTAGAGAATCTCTCACTTTCCCCGAGGAGTCTCTAAAAGAGACACCAGAGATTTAAAAAATTTCCCTCTCCTAAGGTTGCCAGGTCAGGGGGGACTCTATAGGGCTACTGGCTGGGGATGGTGGGGTAGGGTTGCCAGCTCCAGGTTGGGAAACTCCTGGAGGTGTGGGGGTGGAGCCTGGGGAGGGCAGGGACCATTCCCCCAAATGCCACAGAGACCACCCTCCAAAGCATCCATTTTCTCCAGGGGATCTGATCCCTGCAGTCTGGAGATGAGCTGTAATTCCAGGGTATCTCCAGGTCCCACCTGGAGCCTGGCATCCCTGCCCTTGCCCCAGGGAGCCTTGGGGAGTGTAGTTCCGTGAGTGGGGTTAGGTATCTCTATGAGAATTCCCATCAGACTATCATTCCCTGGATCCTCTGGGGATTCTATGACAGTGGGGAGGGCTGGTGTGATGTAGTGGTTAGAGCGCCGGCCTAGGACAAGGGACTGGCCAGGCTTGAATCCCTTGCTCATCCATGGAAGCCCGCTGGGCCATCTCGGGCTTGTGACGCTCCCTCAACCTAACCTGTCCTCACAAGGCAATGGTTGTGAGGATTAAGTAGAGGAAGGGCGGATGAGATTTAAAAAAGGCTGCTTTGGGTCCTGATTAGGAAGAAAGGAGGCACATAGGGCTCTTTCTGTAGCAGGAACTCCTTTGCATATTAGGCAACACACCCCTAATGTAGCCAATCCTCCAAGAGCTCACAAAGCTCTTCTTAGAGGGCCCTACTGTAAGCTCTTGGAGGATTGGCTACATTAGGGATGTGTCACCTAACATGCAAAGGAGTTCCTGCTACAAAAAGAGCCCTGCGTGACATACATTAAAAAAATAAGCCGTTAGACTACTATGCGTCCCATGCAAGTTTCCAGAGGAGACCTGCTCCTCTGTTGTGAGCTGCACTGCACTTGAACGGCAGCAATGCAAGAGAGACCGCTGGGAAGAAAAGCAACAGAACTGGCACCGGCTTGCACTGGGAAGCCACACTGGGTAGAATTTCCCCCCAGTGAGACATCACCAGGCCCCCGGTTGCTTTTACCTTCCCCCACGGCTTCCTAAAAGTTCCTCTTCCGGTGGTGTTGGCAACACATTTCCAGGAGAAGGAAGGCAAGCAGAAGCACAGGCAAGGGTCTGTATGCCAGTTTCCTTTGTCTCTCTCCCACCCTTCCAAGCTGTAGACATGCTTCTTATCATACTGTGATATACGGTGCCAGGGCCAGCGTGGTGTAGTGGGGTAATCTGGAGAACCGGGTTTGATGAAGCCTGCTGGGTGACCTTGGGTCAGTCACAGTATTCTCCAAACTCTCTCAGCCCCACCTACCTCACAAGGTGACTGTTGTGGGGAGAGGAAGGGACAGGCCCGTAGCCACAGTGGGGCTTGAGGGGGGCACAGGCCCACCACAGATGAGCCCTACCCCACCCCGGGAGGATGCCAGTCCCCCCCAACCCCCACCTCGCCGCTCTCCTTACCAATGCTCCCTCTAAGCTGTGGAGTCTTGTGAGCAAAAACTCTACTTTGTGAGCTACTGGCATTAAAGTGGTAAGCGAGCGATTTGGCTGCTGCATAGATTAGTTTGCTCCAGAGCCCTCCTTCCTGAGCTAAGACAAAAAATGTGTGAGCCGGAGGCTAAAGAACTGTGAGCTAGCTCACACTAACTCAGCTTAGAGGGAACAGAGTATCCTACCCCTGCCCCTCTGCGGCCCCGCCCACACTTCCAGGGAAGCGGCCCTGCTACTTCTGGTCAGTTTCCCTCCTGCAGATCAGCTGTTACCTTTAACAGCTGATCAGAGGGGAGTGAAACTGAGGAGAAGGGACAAAATGGCTCTGGAAGGGGAGGGGAGGCCCCTAAGTGACCTGCCCCCCACCAAAATTTTTCTGGCTATGGAGCTGGGAAGGGAAAAGCAATTGTAAGCAGTGTTCCCTCTAAGCTGAGTTAGTGTGAGCTAGCTCACAGTTTTTTCAGCCTCCAGCTCACACATTTTTGTCTTAGCTCAGGAAGGAGGGCTCCAGAGCAAACAAATTTATGCAGTAGCCACATTGCTTGCTCACAACTTTAATGCCAGGAGCCCACAAAGTAAAATTTTTGCTCACAAGACTCCACAGCTTAGAGGGAACATTTGTAAGCCCCGTTGAGGTAGAGAAAAGTGGGGGTATAAAAGCCCATTCTTCTTCTTTTTCTGCAGTGAAACATTCCTAGAGATCTGCTGTGCTGGAAGTATGACACTGGAAGCCCTTGACAAGCGTCTGCTCTGGAGCGCTACCGTACCTTCTTCGAGGGGAACTGGGCAGTTCGTATTCCACCCACTCGCAGCTCCCTGACAGCCGGGATCACCAAGGTCTCGGACTGAACGCACTCCAGCCTCAGAAGGATGGGTTTTGTGAGCTTGTCGCTTTCTGCAGGAGACAGAAGTTCAGTGGGTTGTTGCTGTTCTTTTTTTAATAAAAGAAAGGTATGTGCTGGTATTCATACAAAGCCAGAACCACTGTGATTGGTGCACATGTGCATAGCCACTCTGTGCCATGAATACACAGCCACATTTGGAAGCGTATAAAAGCTCCGTGTTTGCATGACCTCCGTGGCAGGATCTCCAGCTACAGAGAGTTTTACAGATGAGTCGTTCTAGGGTTTGGGCTGGAGTCTTCCTTCGATGGGCCATTCCTTGTCCCTTGCACTCAATAACAGCAAGTGGCGTTTATTACTGCTTCCGCTCAGCTCCCGGAGTGTGTGAGCTACTTTACGCATTTCCCTTACAACAGTCTTGTAAGGTAGGTCTTTGTCCTTCTTCAAAGAGGTCGGCTGACGAAGAATTTATGCCGGTAATCCGGCTCGATCGGCCACTATAGAGTTGCTTGGCACTTGCCTTCTTCGTGGGAGGAGGTCAAAGCCCAATTCAGCTTCTTCCGAAGCTGGATTACGCCAACCTCACACTCCCTCTAGGGCGCTGCTGCCTGCTTGTCCCCCCCCCTCGCTGGGGAGTGATGCGTTGGGCTGTGTATTGCCCAAACTGTCAAAAGTGGCCGTCGCTCGCTTCGCACGATCGCGAAACGCTTCAGTCCTCCATCTTAGCCAGACCGGAAGCCCTCCCTTACAACAGTCTTGTAAGGTAGGTCAGGATTCTTATTCCTCTCATGGGGACACCGTCCTGACCTGGGCAACCTAGATCTTGGAAGCTAAGCAGGGTCAGCCCTGGTTAGTATTTGGATGGGAGACCTGCTTAATCGTTAATCTGCCTCTGATTGCACCCCAACCAAGGAAGCCCAGGGTCATTATGCAGAGGCAGGCAATGGCAAACCACCTTTGAACATCTCTTGCCTTGAAAAAGCCTACGGGGTTACTGTAAATTGGCTGCCACTTGATGGCACTTTCTGTTAAGTCGGCTACTTAACAGAACGAGTCAGAGTGATTCAGCAAAAGATCAGCTTCATTCAGCAACTCGTAACTCAACTCCAACAGCTCAATCAAAATAGCCAGAACAGCTTTAGCATTGAAGCTGTCCTGCTTTTAAACTCTCCCGGCTAATATAGCCCCACCCTCTTTCACAATAACAACCAATAAGATTGTGTACCTAAGGTCCAATCACAGACGTTCCCGCTCTGTGAGCTTGATTGCATGTGAGTGGTAGGTTCTTCCTGGGCTACCAATAGGATTGGAGGGATTAGGATCCTAGCCCAGGACGAAGCTTTACATGGTGTATGAATTAGGTGATTCACATCATACATAGGCAGCTTTGAATACATCACACTTTCCACCACCAATGGGAACTGAGGCTGCGTTGAGGGGCTTCCCTAAGGCCACTTGAAAGGTCCATGGCAGAGCTGGGGACATTCCAGGTCACAGCGGCCCCTCCGCTCCTACGCCAGCACGGTCCCTCTTTAAACTAATCTGTGCTTTCTGCACAGCTTCCCTCTTGCCTCCTGGCAGCAACCCACGCCCTCCGCCTTGCGCTCAGTCCCTGATTTCGTGCCCCCTTTTGCCCGCTGCCTTCCTGCCTTGCCCGCTCAAGCACTTCCCTCTAATCATGTTAGTCTGGAGGGCTGGGGCAGGAACACCCTCTGGGCGCGGCCTGTTGGACACGAAGCTATCCATCCCCTTGACCAGAGGCCTCTGTGCGACCTTCTCGCTCGGGGACTTCAAAGGGAAGCTGCAGGAGAAACTACTGAACGGGGGATCAAAGCTGCTGATTCATCTATTTGCTTTGATAGGGTTCAATCGAGACCGGAGTAAGAGATTATCACAGTGAATCAGAGAAGCCTGCCTTATCACCAATTACGGCTGCTATGAAAGGTCACCGTGATCATTAATGTACGTGCTCGAGCTTTTCATGGAAATGTCAAAGGTTGCATTCGGGGATCTTCTGGCTGTACTGATCACAGGTTTTGAACGCAGGAAGCTGCTTTAGAGTGAATCGAGGAAGCTGGCCTTTCTGCTTCCCCGGCAGCAGCTCCCCACGAACAGGAATAGGCCTAACGGGAAATGATTTGGAAGTTCTGCGGACAAATGATGTGCGCGGCCACTGAGCCAAGGCTCTCCCCTCGTCTTTATGTCTATAAATATATAGGACTTAAAAAAAAAGAGGTGCCAGAACTCTCAAGGGTTCCTCTGGAGGAAAAAAATCCCTGTAAACGTATATCTAACAACCGACAGCCCTTCATGCATCTGATGAAGTGGGCTTCTAGCCTATGAAATATGCCCCAATAAAACCCGTCCATTTTTAAAGTCCCCCAAGACTGCGTTTTGGTTGGGGTGCAATCAGGGGCAGATTAACCGTTAAGCAGACTAAGCACGTGCTTAGGGCACCAGGGCTAAAGGGGGCACTGCAAAGTTGGGAAAAGGGTGAAAAGGAGAAAAAAACAAACGAATAAAGGCCCTGTTCACATGGAGCATTTGCCCCGCTGAAGGCACGGGAGTCCCGCGGAGTATCCGGGCGCAATCACACAGGAACATCTGGGAGGCGTAGCACTTCCGTGGTGAACCCGTGGCCAGCCGCCGAAGCCGTGCGGTAAAAAACCCACCTCACCATATGTAGTGGCAAACGCTTTTCCACGGGCCGTCTATGAGAGCCTCCAGTCGTGTGATCGCGCTGGCGTGCGGCTTCCTCCCCCATCGTCCTCTTTACTGCGGGGAAGCCGCCATCGCGTCTGATTGCATAATGGCGCATCAGACTGCGACGGCCGAAATAGCTGCGCTCCCCCCCCCCCCCCCCGCGCTTTCCATTTTACAGCATGTCTGACTGGGGCCGAAGATTTGTTTAAAAAAAATGACAAAACTAGTGCACACTGATCATGGTGCACCCTAGGGTTATCTTCTATTTTTTGTTGGCGGGGGTGCAGTGTCATCGGCTATGACACCAAGATTGGGGGCACCAAGATTGGTCAGTGCTTAGGGCACCAGTGAGCCTTAATCCGCCCCTGGGTGCAATAGACCAACCAGGCAATTCCTCAGGAAAAGGTTCACGTGCATTGCTACCTTGCTCTGCTGCCTAGGTGTCCAGAAGGAACGGGCCTTTTCTTGTCCGCCATGATGCAGAACTGTGGGCTTAGGATGCAAGGGCCTGCCCGGAAGGACGGTATTACCTGCTTTGGCTGCTTCTTCTGCCAGAGACGTCGTCAGGGCCAGTGACTCTACGGGCACATCCAATGGGTCGCCTCCTTCCACGTACATCATGTGGTTCCTCGCGGCCCCTTTCAGCTGGATGACACGGATGACTTCCTAAATGAGAGGAGGGAGGTTGAAAGTGGATAGTGCCTCACTGCAAGGGCCCAAGGCGGACAAAGCTGCACAATAAACACAGGTAAAAAGCCATCTGTCCTTTCAGCACACAGAGTTCCGAAACATGTTGGAAATCCAGCGGAAGCAGTTGGGGGCGTTGGAAGGTTCTGCCTGGGGAAGGTTTTCATCTCTCTTTGCCCTCACAGCCGGCCTTGCCGTGAAGACAGATTGAGGTGGGCAGCCGTGTTGATCTAAAGCAGCAGAACAAAGTCTGAGTCCGATGCCACCGGACTCAAACTTAGCTCAGCTGGGCTTGTGTGCGCTCTGTCCTGCCTCTAGCAAAAACTAGATGGCGCCCCTCATTAATTGTTGACGCTCGACTTCCACGGTGAACAAATAAGAAGGGCACCTGCCACAGTGCCAGCTTGTTCACTTCAGTTCAGTCTCAGCGCTGCTCTCTTCTGCCCAGATGGTGCCACTTTGTACCACGCAGAACACCAGTTTGATGAGAGCCTTCCTGGAACTGTTTTTAGGGCACACGGGTGGGATGCTTCCTTTTGCGGTCTCAGGAACCCGCTGTCTCCAGTGTGGGAAGTCAGGTACTAAGTCCCGTGTACAGGTTTGAGACACTCTGAGTTCTTTCATCCCCTCAGGAAAGCAAATGAAGACACCTCCCCGCCCCCTTTTACTGTGTGTGAGAGTTGGAGGGCACC